AAAGGATAAATTATTAAAACGCGATTTTAATTATTAATAATTATTTAATTATTTTTGATGACGTCACGAATTGTTTTTTTTACAAGGTTTTTTTTTTGTTGAAAACTGTGTAAAATTTTATTTTCGCCTAAAAAATGCGTCACAATGCACCAAACGTCACTTTATCTTTGAGTAATTTAATTTTTTCGTAATCTTGTATTATCATTCATTACAAGTTTATACTATTAAATAATAATAATAATTATTATTATTATTATTATCATAATATAATTACTTTTTAACTGCCTGACGCGCGAAAAAAATTTTTTTAAAAACGATTAAATTTCAGAAGCACATGGTCGGTAGCACATATGTTAATATTTATATATTTTTTTTTTGTTTTCTTTAACCCTTAAAAAATTTTCCTCCCATTAATTATCGAGTTATTGAATCGTTTATTAACAAAATAAATAAATAAATAAAATAATAAAGGGTGCGTGGGCGTTTTTAAATTTACTAGAAAAAACAAAAAAATGAGGTCGGACCGAGTTAAATACTCGCATTAAAAAAAAAAACAATGAAGTCGTGTGCGTGGAATTAGACAAAAAAGAAAAAAAAAAAACGTGAGAAGAAACCCCGGGTACAATTATTATTTTTTTTTAGCGATTTTGAAATTTTACCTTCGTCCCAAAACAACAACAAAAAAAAAAATTTTTATTTATTTACAGTAATAATGATAATAATAATTTTATTTATTTATCTGTTATCATCTGTGTGTGTGTGTGTGTGTGTGTGTGTGTGTGTGTGTGTGTGTGTGTGTGCGCGACTCGCGGCGTCGTTTTTTTTTTTTTTTTTTGTGTTTACCCTTACGAAAAAAAAACCAACAAGGTTGTTAACTAACTAATAGCGACGTGTAATTAGACGAATTAAAAATAAAAAAAGTACGACGATAGCATAATAATTACGCGTCGGGGTAACCATGATTAAATAATTTTTATTTTTATTTTAATCAGAAAATATTTTTAAAAAAAAAATTTTAATAATAATAATAATAATAGAGTTTCACGAGATTGGCATTTAGTTATGTTTTTTTTTTCTTTTTTTTTCATTCAAGGTCTAAATTGTGCTTTCATTTGTAACATCAATTTATTACCCAATAAACTAATAGTGTTGGTTGTAAATCCGACCGTTGGGTGTAAAAAAAAAAAAATTTACTTTTATTATAACCAAAACAATTATTATTATTAACAAACAAATATTTAATAAATTTACAACCCCTTTCTTCCTCTCACAACAAATTTACAAAATATTCTCTATTATTATTATTTTTTTTATTTTTTAAATACGGTTAAAGAGTGAGAGCAGGACAATCTTTATGGAAAAATCGTTGGACTCGAATCGTGTGATATAACGGTAGCGAGAGGAAAAAACCGCTTTTTTTTT